CCTTGGTAAGATAGCTCAGATATGATTGATGGACAAAAAACATCGATGTTTCCCCTAAATTCTTGAGGGATGCAGATTCATGACCAACCAATATCAATATCGAACAATCACCAAGACATGTCCCCAACAAAGTCACCCCTGCCCAAGTTGACATGGAAACTTCATCCAATTTTTCAGCTTTTGATGTGCCTGGGACCAGAAGGGGTGAAGAACATGATGAACAACGGGATCTGAGGGCAAAAGGCCAAGGAACTCCTGCTCCAACACCTGCGTCCTCTCGGAATATCCATGATTTGGCGATAGATTCCCATGTGTTGGAGCTCCATCCAAGAATTCGCAATGTCTCTGTGCTTCAACCTGCAAAATTCAAAGCTGCAGTGTGATTGCCTCTAGAAGCCACAACCGCCACCGTCCAGATTGTGGGCGGGTCATCCAGCGGTTGTTTTTTGTGCGCTACTCAGGATGCGAAGAGGAGTCGGGCCATCTCCCTAAAATACAACGATCATCCGTGTCTCGCTTGAACATACCAACATGGCCTGCTATGAACTCCTGAAACGCACCATGGATTTTTGCGGTTGAACCCAACAGTTGGTTCAATCGCAATCTCCCGAAGAATCAGCAGCGATTCATCACCTTCCGGGTCTCTGGGGCGTTTGATGTCCGGGGAAGGGATTCATTACCCTCTGGTAAACTAACATGGCTATTGAAAATGGCAATTTATAGTGGATTTTCCCATTAAACATGGTGATTTTCCATAGTTACGTTAGTTTACCAGAGGGTACATATCCTCATCATTTCATGGTCGTATCCCCATTTGTGAGCGATCAAAACCATCTATGAATTGTTGCGACTGGACCCCATCACCGCAGAGGGATTATCCCATCATCCACCCCAAGGATCTGTAGATGGAGTGAAATCGGTTATCTGATTTAGGGGGAAGAGATTCTATACTCAATTCACAAGCATTACTTTCTGTCAGCGACAATTCCCATTTGTGTGAAACAAAATTCCACCCTATGCTAACCTTGTGGGTGAAAATTGGCCGATGGATTTCCCCAGGGAAGCAGATACTGCCCCTGTGCAAGTGCTTCATTTCAACTGGGATAGATGGACTATATACCCCATATATAACTCACTCAACTGGAATTGGAATATAATGTGTATACGTATATATACATATATATATATATGTATAATTTATATATATATATATGTATAATATATATATATGTACACTATGTATATATATATATAAATATATATATGTACAATATGTATATATATATATATGTATGATATATGTATATATATATATATAACCACGCATTAACCCATATATTACCACCAGATATTCGGTAGTTAACCTCATACATTCCAGACATTGGCCCTAATCACTGGCCCATTTCAAATGGTTCCGATCCACGGGTGTAGAGCTGCCCCCGCCTGCTCCAAAGCAGTCTGGGATTGCCAATGGTTCAGCACCTCCCGAACAATCTGAGGTCCACCATTCTCGAGATAGGGTATGCACCAAAAAATGCTGATTTTATTGATGAACATGATGATTGCACAGATTATATGTTCTAAAATGGTAAGCTCAAAAGGAACCGTGATCCAGTGGTTTTCCTGTGTTTTGACAAGACTATGTTTTGAAATCCAGAACAAAACAGGTCCAGCGAAAGAATACCCTCTGGCAAGTCTACCTGGGCGGCTGGGTGGTCCAGCGTTTGAATAAGCATATTACGGGTTGATTCTCCAAGCGATAGATTTTTAGTGCAAAGGACAGTTCAAGTTTCTGACCCAAACTTGGTCTCTGCAGAGATCAAGTCTTCAAATGCTCATTGCCTTGGAACATACGCAGGTTTGTCGAATTCATGGCCATGGGCCCTTTTCTTGATCCTCTCGATTCCTGACACTGCAGTTCTCAGCATTTGGGCGTGTTAGAGTACCAGTTTAGCTTGATTTGACACACTCCAAACATCTCCAATGGGGGGTTCCATAAATGGATGATTCCCAATAGCTGGATGGCGTATTTCATGGAAATCCCAATCTAATAGCTGGATGATATAGGGTACCCCCATTTATGGAACCCGCCATATCAAGTTGCTCCCTGTGTCCCACTGCAGGATGGTACACCCCCATGATGCCCATATGTTGAAGGTGTCAGAATCCATGTATCCCTGTGATAATTGGTTATGTATAACCATTATATGGGTATGGATCAAAACCTTGTACCCCTCATGAACCCCAAAATTGCTGGTAAATGGATGGTCATCCCCCTAAAAATGTATCTATAGGTATTGACCCATACCCATATACCAATTACCCCATATACCTCGTACTGCTGGTTATATCACTTCATATCAATACCTCTATTGTATTCTATTGTATTGCGACTGTTCTTCCAACATTTAATGTTTTTCTCCATAAAATTTCCGTGCGGACCGAATTATTATTAGCCAGTGATTAAGCAACGATTTGGCCAATAATCTGGCTGTACATGGTAATTTTTGGTGTATCCAATCATATCGCTGACATCGCTGTAAACTTTGCCAACATAGGGAAGTGGTGATCTCCAGGGAATGACGTAGGGCCTGCTTCAAGGCCACAGGCCTGGCGGAGAAGTTGGGGATTGATTCTAGGGATCCCATAGATTTTGAAAGTACGACTCTGGGGTCCCACATGTGTAGCTGGAAAACATATAGAATTCTATAGGGATTGATTCTCATGGATACTGAACTCTTTACTTGAAAATTCAAGTTTTACATCAGAATGAAAAGATCCAGTGATTCATCATGCAATGTTTCAATGGTTGTGGGCCTAGCGTTAGATTCCCGAGAAATATCTCCCCAAAACAAGATGATCAAATACGAAACACATGATACCCTCTGGCAGTCACACCACGGAAATTCCCATCTACAAATGATTTTTCCCCACACAAAAAGCCCCGTTTACTTCGGGGATGTCGCTAGCCACACCCCAGGCCCATCCCTCTACCATGGCATATTTATGATGGTTAAATCCCTATTCATGGATGAACCATCCAGTAATCAAACGTGGCAAACTGGAACATCCGTCAGTTCGATGAATTTGCGAACTGAACCTCCATTTCGTGAACGGGGAATTTCCAGCTAGCCCTGTTTTAAACATGGTATGATTCACTGGACTGGTTGAAAGGAAAATCGAAACCGGAAACCATATAGTTTCCCCGATGAAATAGGGTTTCCCTGTCAATTTTCCGTTAAGCCAATCCATTGAATGATTGTTGAATGCTCAGCAACTTTCACACCCAGTCCTCATCTGAAAGAAGCGGTGCTGCTGCAGATATCTCACCATGGCCTGCAGCGGGATGGTGACAAGAAATTCGCGCTGATGTTGATGAAACCAGCATATATATATATATATGTATATACATATTATATATATAATATAAAAAATATTATTATATAATATATGTATATAATATATATATATATATCATTCATACCTGTTTAAATACATCTACAATATCGGCAATGCCTACAGAACACGTATCAATCTATGTATCTATCTATTGGATTTATCCATCCCATCCACGATGTATTCCTGCTGGGATCACCTGAGGTCGTCCATCAATCAGGGGCCAAAGTCTGTTTCGGCGCGAGCTTCGAGAAAGGAACACCCAGAGCAGGGCAGTCCGAACCAGCACAACCCTCCGACTCGTATAGTGCGCAGCCCATCGCATGGGAAACCGCGGCTGCCTCCGAAGAGTGACCCTTCCGATGGATCTCCTGTAGAGACCCGGGACAATCGCCGTGGTCCAGTCCGTCTCGACATATTGATGTTTCTGATCACTGGATAGCCAAGGTCAAAGACGGCACGTGACAACACACCAGCACCAGCAAGATCATCTGGGGGCCCAAATGACAGGGCCCTTGCGATCGCCAGACTGATTGAAGCAGGATGGGGTTGCTCCAAACACCCGAGGTACAAGGGGTAAATTGGCTAAATATGGGGGTAAATGACCAATTTACTTGTGGCTATGATGTATCTATAATGGGTTGGAGCAACCCCATGAAAAGTTCCTGGTTTCTGATAATTGCTGTCAATCTCGTGGCTATCCCACCCAGATGCCTCAACCATGTCTACTCTCAATTTTCGGCGGGATGTTCTGCTTTTCCCATTAAACATGGGCATGTTCCATCGCCACCACCTTTGATTCTGGGGAAGTTTCCACCATGTCAGCCTCGTAGCGCACCGGCACGGGCAACGTTCGGGTACTCCAAGGGGTCAGGGGATGAAACACGAACTCCTGAGGGAATTCGGCAGTCTGGCGAAATTTTCATCGTTTTTCCAGGTGGAAATACATTTTGGGATGCCTATTCTCACAAAGCATCTTTGGTGAGGTCGACTTCGTGATATTTCAAGCTACTTCATCTAACTGGTTGAGATAGAAGGAAATTAGGCTTTTGACCCAAACATGGTGTTTTTTCTGATGGGGACGCACAGCGTGGCCTAAAACCTCTTGAATCATGGGCAACAATTAGATGATCATTTTGAACCGTGTTGGATAGAGACTGTCGTCTGGCTGAGTATTGCTAATGCACGAAGCTGATTTGAAACAATTACACCCCAGAAACGATACCCCATCTGCCCAATTTCAGAGGGGCGAGTACTAAACAGAGTGAGTGGATTTGTGGCGCTGGATTCTCATTAGAAAGTCATGAGCCGTGTCTTTGATGGGTTAGTGGCCTTCAAACTTTTGTCAGTTCAAACGAAAGGGGTTCCTTAAGTTTGGATATTGAACAACCGAGACAAAATTGAGTGATATTGATTTTCGTTAAACCAGGAAATATAGATAAGGACCCCCGCAAGACTTGCTTCTTCTGCAGCCGAAAAGCAAAGGCACCATTTTGATCATCATCCAGGAGATGGACAACATATTGATGCAGATGGTTTCGCCAGATTTTAACATTCATTCATCAAAGATATCACCATTTTTGTTGATGAATTTCCCAAAAAAACTGGTGAGATGTTTATACATGTTATACCCATTCTAATGATTAATCCATCCAATAAACTGCTAAAACCCCAAAGATTGTTTGGTTAGATTTCCATTTACCTACGAACAATATCTAAAAATAAGCAACCGGCCGGCATCCGTCCTCAGTATACCCCAGTGTATCCCACTATGCCCCGGCCGATCTTGTGAAGTCCCTCCTCGACCAAAGGCTGTTGCCAACGCTCTCGCAGTTCCAACCTGAGAATTGAAGCGTTGCCAGAAGTTCGTTGATCTTTCTTAAACGGGGAACGCGCAAATGATTGGGATTTCTGGAAATAATTCTTAAATGGGGATGATCCTTGAAGAAATTCTATTGGGATTTCACTTGCCGCTGGCAGTTTTGGCAAAAACTTGGTTAGCTTTGTTGGAACATTCTGGAGGAAAACTGGGGGGAACTTCTTGACCCATGTCTGCAGGTTCACACGTGGGCAGAAGGTCAACACAATACAGCCGATTCAATCTCGCACAAGTGGGCGGAAGGTCAGCAAACTACACTTTCTATTCCTTGCCTCTCCTTAGACCTTAGATCTTCTAAATACCCCATCTCTACTAAGATATGAAATGTCCCCATCAAACTGGCTAACCACATCAACCCCAACAAAAAACATGGAGAATCCTTTCACCACTCGGTTTACCCAATGGCACTGGGTAGCGCCGCGTCGCACCGGGGAACCCAACGCAGGGAGCAACCAACGCCCCCGTAAACGATAGGGCGGAGTCAGCTGATAATCCTGGGGAGATCACCAAGGTACTGAAAACACCACTGATAATGACTACAATCATGACAAAAACATGTTAATAGCGATGATGGTGATGGTGATGGTGATGATGATGATGATGATGGTGATGGTGATGGTGATGGTGATGATGATGATGATGATGGCAATCATGATCAGAATAATAGACAATTGGGAATACTTTGATGACCCAGCTGACGAGAGGATTAGGTAAGCAGTACTTGGGGCAACAACCCTGAAATATCTGGATTATGGATTGTGAATATGGTTTTTTTGCAGAAGATTTGCACATTTCTCAAGTCATATTTTGGGGTCCCATGTGCGAAGAAACGAGATTTTGAGATCGTCCATAGCGGTCAGGATTGTCATCCACATGAGATGAGTTTGTCTGAAAAGAGGATAGGCAAAACAGGACGGTTGATAATCATTTTAATCTTTAAAACTGTTTTATGGGCCCCATTTTCAGACACCCAACATATGGTACCGCATAACTGTACAAAAACCACTATCAATTTTTGGTGTCACGTCGTTTGCACCCACGTCTCAGCATCAAACAACCCGGATATGTCGCTGTTGGATCGGCGGAATGGATGGGCGCAGCTGTCTGCACGTCTTCTGGATTCGGATCGATCGGATGCTGCCAAGGTGTAGTGGCACAGTGCCAAGACCGACGCCGATGGCTTGCAGCTCTGCTGAGTCAGGTGCGCAGCCGCTGTCCTGGATCTCCTTCATGCAGTTGTAGAGCGGGGTATTCTTTAAGATCTTAGATCCAAGCGGAGTAGAGTAGCCCTCCTGGGGCAAATCACAAAATCACAAGATCACAAGACGGCCGCAGCTGAAGTCGCTCCTTTATTGCCAGCTTGAGTGTTAGATTCCATGGAAGCCGTGGGGCCCTCAAAGGGAAATCCAAGAGGTGATGATGCTTGAGACCCGTCTCCAAGGCGTGGGATTTTTGGAAGGTTCGTTCAGAGTACACCCAAACATCAAAGAAACACTTTCAACCCGATGCTTTTTGATGATATTTGGTTGTGTTAGGTGATAATCCAAGTCTTTGTGATGATAATCTAAGAAAATCCAGCTACTCTTTGCGACCAATTGAGTCAGACCCGTCAGTCCAAGCTGAAAAACCCAACATGGCAAGCCCAAAGGTTTACTACACGTCAGCATGAGGTAATTCATATTAGCTCCGTAGACAAGAATGGGAGTACAACAAAAACTATATGCCTTCGCAGCATTTTCGAGTTTCCACTTGTTCCCGACTTGTTCCCAACATCTGGGTAGAAACAATTCTGAAAGCCAATCCCCCAAGCATCTGGGCCATTTTGTTGAGGGATTCAACTTCCCGGGGGTCAACTCATTTTGAATGTTTCGTCATCCATATTTGGGGGAGGGTGCAGGTCGATGATTTCTTCCATCCACTATAATCAAATTCACCCACGAAAGTCCCCTATTCTGAGGCAAAATGCACCGTGAGATTGATGACCATCCATGAAGAGTGATCAGCATCAAAATATCCGAATTAGCCCATGCAAGTGTAATCGCTTAATACCATTCTGCAAACCATTTTGAAAATGCAGATAATTAAGGTCAACATTTGAAATTTGTGTAATCTTTTTTTATGTTTCTGTTCTTGTTATTATCTTCATTTTTTGGGGCACACACACAAAAAAGGAAGCCAACAAGAAACGCCAACGACTATCGCCTCTTGGCTTTCTTCGCTGCTGTCGCTTGTTCCTATGTGTTTTTCATCTCATGTTCAACTTGACCTATCCTTCCAGGCAATTAATGGGCCGTCTAAGGTTTGTCCGGGTATCGGCGTTGCTGGTCTGTGGTGGTGGTGGATCGCCGACGTCTCAGTGAGGCAAAGCATGGCAAAGCTGGCGCCACTTGTTATGGGCCACTGTGGGGTGGGGTTTCAAACGCCGACAAACCCAACCCGTAATGGAAACTGCCCAAGCTGTTTGGATTTATTTTCCTGTGCTGGGGATTGTTTGTTTGCCAGCGGAGAAGGCACTGGCTTTTCATTTTTTTTCTCCACATGTTTTGATATAAATTGGGGGTATCGATAGGGGTGATGAACTCAAATACACTTATCAGCAGGGTGGGAAGGTATTGTGTTTTAATGTGTTTTGTAGATTCTGCACCTGGAAGTTGCTAAGGCCCATGCTTTGTTTGATGTTGCGGATGGCTACGGGCTTAAACGATCTCCGCTCTCGGTGATCGGGGAGCCCCAAGCATCATTAAGGTCACAGGGCCAGAGTTGAAAGGCCAATTTGCCCAACGCAAAGAGAGGTATATGACAAGACAAACATCTTAAACCGGATATTAGTTGCACTTCTAAGTTTGTTGGGTCAACATCACAAGTTTTGAATCAAATCCTGCTGTTGTTTGGAGGTAGGTGATGCCTAAATCACGATTTTTGCTGATCAACCAACAACAAGTTTTGATGGCCCCGTCATCAACCACCGGCGATGGCGGCAATCGCCAAGCTCCTGCACATTGGCATCGTCCGGCTCCCAAAAAACAGTCTCCTCCCAGAATGGAAAGATCAGCTGACTGGTAAAATAGCCAGTGGGGTGATTTGGGCTGAAAATCGAGGATAGCCGTAAACCGCAATTTGAAAATTTAAGGCAAAGGATGATAACATATGGGGAACGCCATGGATTAAAACTGAGGATTCAATTATATAAAATTCAAATGATTTAGCTTGCATTTAGGGTTATTTGACAGAAAATGGTGCTTGGCTCATTGGATAGGAACAATATTCATCAACAATTTGCAAAACAATCCATGAATTTAGTCATCAAAAATGGTGGAACTACCTATTACTACCACCACCTTTGCTATTGCTATTGCTAGTGCTACTGCTACGAGCCAATGGAACGTCCGTTTCCTAATGCAATCCAGTCCGAACAAATCAAGCGAGAATGTTAGCAAGGGGTTTTGACACAATGGCAGCTATTGTGAAGCGATGACAACGTCTCAAGAACTTTGACAACTTTTCTGGATTCGCAATAGCGCTTTTGTTTGAACACGAGGTAAAATCATCCCACAAAGACTTGATCTGCGGACCCCGAAAAAGACACTTGGTTCGATTATGCACGCGTCACAATATATCATGATCTTCTTGGGGATTGCTATCTTCCCCGTTGTTTTGTACCGTCATATTCATCATCCATGAAACCAAAAATCATATCCCTGTGAATTTCCCAAAAACACCAATCCCGACAAAGCTGTTGCTTGAAACCCATTTACATTCATCAAAATCAACCCATTCCCACCAAGATCATTGACGATATGCCAATATCAACATTTTGTTGAGTTGACCAAGATGACCTCCTCTTATTTTAGTAATGCAATCCATTTTGGGATGGTTTATACAACCCATTTGTGGTGATGGGCCCCTGGGGATGGCTTATTCTTACGTCATTGTAATCGAACATCACCGTGCCGTCCTCCGGGTCCGCGCTAGAAGCAGGATGGTCCTTACTCGAAACGGTGATCAATCAATTGGGTGTAGGTATATTCAAAATTGTGCAAATACAGAAACGCATAAATATATTCTATATACATGTTGTGTGCACACAAATATATGTATACATACAGGTAAATGAATAGGTATATAAATAGGTAGCTAAATACATAAATAGGTAAGTAAAACATATAAATAGATAAACAAAAATATGTAGATATACCTTAACACATGTAAATATTTGGTTGTATCAATATGTGTGTAAATAAATAAATATAAACAAATAAATAAATAAATAAAAACATATATATATATATATATCGATGTAAATACACACATATATATATGTGCCTATGTAAATATTTAAAAATATGTATATATATAAATATGATACATAAATATGTACCTATTTAAACGTAAACGCACACACACACTTTTTTGACGTTGACAGTAAATATACGTGTATATGTACGAGTAAATATCTGCAAAAATAAATCTGAATTCAAACGGTATATTATAATGCACCAATGTACTCTGAAAAAAAATGCATGGATGCAACACAGATACATTGATAATCAAACATAGAAACATTGATAAAAATAAATAAGTAAACAAATGAACAAATAAGTATCTATATATAATTGCAAAAATTACAGGGCGGACCGATTCCAAAAGGTTGTACGAGTTCATTTCCTCTCCAATGGGTGCTTTGGACGTACGGCAGAAACTTTGGGTTGGGCTTGCCGTTTTGCAAACTGGGACTGGCAAGGACTCCTTGCTTCAATCCAAAAACTGTCTATGCCTCTTGTGTGAATTGACTTGGTCGCGATCGCAAATCCACTTAGTGAGCGAAACAAATCATTCTAGTAAGATAAAATGATCCGTCTCCGTAGCTCAACCCCCTTCTAGTAACATCCGTCTACATAAGTCAACACCCTTCTAGTAACATGAAATGATCCGTGTACGAAACGCAACGCCCTTCCAGTAACGTGAAATGATCCTTCTATATAAGTCAACACCCTCCTAGTAACGTAATAGTAACATAACATGTTCTAACTACGTGGCTCAGCACCCTTCTAGTAACGTAACATGTTCCCTCTACGTAACTCAACACCCTTCTAGCAGCGTAACATGTTCCGCCTACGTAAGGCAAGACCTTTCCAGTAACGTGAAATGAACAGTCCACGTAAGTCACTACATTGAAGTGAAACGGCCTGAAAAATGGAAGATTAAGCATCCAACCTCTGGATCGTTTTGGCTTTGGGCATCCACAGTGGAAGTGGAACTTGCACCTTCCTCTTGGGACCATGCGCCCCAATCATCTTTCGAGTGTGACATGGCGGCAAGGCGATATACATATATAATCCTTATAAATGTATATATATATATATATTCATGAATTTGTATGTATATGCAAATACACCATATATGATACTACAAGCCAAATCCAAAGTATTCAAAATGTTAAATATGTAACGTCATATATATTATATATGTCTACACATATACATACATGCATATTTACACTGTCTTGCATATATGTACATATGCATATATATATATATTTAAATGTATGTATATATTAACATATTTGTGTGTATGTATGTATGTAATGTAGTCTAATGTAATCTAATCTAATATAGTATAATAAATCTTGATATGATATATTTTAATATAATATAATATAATATTCTATTATATAAAATAATATTATACTTTATGATGTTATATTATATATTATATATCATATATGATATGATGTTATATTATATTATATTAAATTACATTATAAGATATTATATTATTTTATAATATATTATATTATATTATATTATATCAATTTATATTATATTATATTATATAATATTATATAATATTATATTATATTAAATATAGGAGAGACCACACCTCCAGATTAGATTGAAACCAACCAGCACAGCTATCTTTGCAAAGACCATGTGGATGCAAAGACCAATCGGCATGCTGTACTCCCCCCAAAAATGCAGGATGACATTCAGGTTTGTCCGAAAACAGGGCACCCAAAGGATTATCATCATTTTCCGCCTGAATTGCCATATGTTGGGGGTGAATATCCCTTGACTGGACACTGCCAAAATCATATCAAATGGGTTCTATATACCCTTTTATCATGTTTTATCCAGTGTACAAACTGACAGCTGGCCACGCTGCATATCATCGTCGGGTTAGTTGGCATAGGAATAGTCGGACTGATAGTGGGCGCGCCCGGACCTGGCCGAGTCGGTCACGTTCAACGCGCCTTGCAATGCGCCATTCTGTCATAGCTTTGAGGTCCACGTTCGCCTCTGTGTCAGTAGCCTCTTAGATAGGCGCACTTGCCCTGAGAGCACAAATGGTGTTCTCATGCCATGATGGATGATCTTTATAAGTCTGCTCGATTTGGATCAGCAGCGTGGTGGCTTCTTATGATCAAATGTTTGTTTTCATCAACATGATTCCCCATGCTATCACCATAGTATTCCCCATTTGTGATAGTTAAATCCCAACATTTCTACCTAAAAACGCCACTCGGTCAAGTCAAAGTGGCCCTGATGGGGAAGCTATGCTCAAACTTCCAACAGGCTCGCCAGTCTCGTAGAGTCACCCCGAGCTTTGGATACTGCAGCAGCACGGATCAGGAGGAGCATGTCAATGGTGGCTGACTTCCAAGTACGGAGGAAGATACGTCTGTCCTCATTGAGCAATGGCGATGGCTCGAAAGCCCAATCATTGAGCATGCCCAAGGCCTCCTCCAACAGGTCAACGAGCTCATCGATCTCATGAAGTTGCATAGTACGAAGGAAAGCCACCACCGATGGAGGATAAGGCTTGGACGTGGCCCACATCTCAGCACAAAAGATCGAAGACGGTGAGTTGTCGCTCCTTGCCCGGGCCACTGTGGAGCACCAGATAGCAAAGCTTGTGAAGTGCACCGTCGTCACCACAGCCCGGCACAGACGGTCATAGGCTGCAGTGATCCTATCGATCTTTGCCCAGCCAGTAGGGCGGATACCACGCTGCCGGAACACTCTCTTATCGTCTCCTATCCCCATTCAAGTTTAAGTACCCAATTCCCGCTAACCGCAATCGAATCTGACCGAGGCACCAGAACCCATTGGTTCATCATCTGCCGCAAGGCCTGGAGAAATCACGGAGATGATGGCCTTGGTCCCTGAAAATTGGGGAATGGGAATGATGAAAGCAACCCAAACACCATCTGGTTGGTGGTATACCTACCCTATATATGGTTAGCATGGTTTAATATGGTTTAATCCCATTGATTATCATGCTTATTTACTTAACTGGTTGGTGGTATACCTACCCCTCTGAACAATGATGGAGTTCGTCAGTTGGGATGGATGAAAATTTCCAATATGTGGAAAAATGTTCCAAACCACCAACCAGCCATGGCAATTTCAGGAAGGCTTGAAGGCAGCTGCCGGGGGACTGGTCTGAAAAAGTGGTGCCGCCCAGTGGTGTTTGTTGCTTTGCAACCCCTAATTAAGATAGATATGTCCATAAAATCCCAATACTTTATATCAACAATATCCCATTTAATATTAGGATGGGATTACTGAACCCTACTGATCCACCCTCTGCCCGCCTTCTGCCGTTCTTCGGCTTCAGGGCGTCTAGGCCTTGGCAGATTTATCCTCCCATTGAATGGGCATATGGTTGGCGTATAAATTGGTTGACAAAGCTCATAAAACTAAAAAAAATGGACAAGTTGAATGGATATATAGCTGGTTTGCATGGATACATACACACACACACACATATATATATATAGTTGGTTCACAAACATATATGGACCAGGGATACACATCCAAGTTGGTCAATTAAGGGCAACAACCGGTGTGACCCAATGCAACAGCCGGTGGTCAACCACCAGCCTCTTATCGCCGAGTGACGCTGGCCGCACGTGCCAGCGATTCAATTCCCAAGGAGCAATTTCGATGGGCAGCAACCTGCGTCAGTGGACGAACAGGTGATTTCCCGTTGCTAGGGCCTCAATGGACCCACATGCGATGAAGATCAATGAATTCAGGGAACTTTCTAATATGGTGTGCCTGAAAATGGAATAAATACACCCCAATCCCTTGGCTCATCACCAGTCTTCTTATTGAATGAAATGCATTTTTTTCCCGAATGCGTGGCAAGGGTTCCCGTTTCACTCTGGGGGTCTGGGGGCTGAGGGTGTGTTCGCTCGACGTTGCGTTTACGTTCGCAACCGTCCGCAACCGTTCGTAACCGTTCGCGTGAGGGCCCTATGGCCGTGCCTATGGTAAGTTCTGCAGAAGGGGTCCTTTTTGGAGGTTTCAAACGTCTCGTTGCTTCGTTTCGCATGGCAGGCGTGGCACTTCGTGACATTCAGACGTGTTTTGTAACGTGTCGAAAATGGTTTTGCGTGGCAGGCGCAATACTTTTGCGACGTCTTCGCAAGATGTGTTGCATTTTTCGTGGCAGGCGCAGCACTTTGGACGTGTCCATCGTCATTTTTCGTGGCAGGAAAAAGAACTTTAGACGTGTCGTGTTGCGTGTTTTTTGCGAATCGCATTGGCAGGGCTGCGTCAAGTGGCGACAAGGTGCAGATTCCGTGGTAGGCGTGGCATTTTGTGAGATGTGCTGAAAATTGACGGAAGCCTCGCACGAAACATCGATTTTGAGGTAGCAAATTTAGAGGTTCCTAAGCTGCACTCTCAGGCTGCTGATCCCAAACTTCCACCAAAGCCACTTGGTGGTGGAGGCACGCGGCGGATTGCCTCGTCATCATCATGCACGGGAGGGCGCGGAGTCTCAGTGGATCTCGAGGTGCTGGTCAAAGTCGAGGCTGGGCTGCTTGGTGCTTGTGCATCATTCGGGCAAGCTTCAAGCCAAAAAGGCGCTTCAATTTGAGCACGGGCTGCAGGATCCTTCTGCAGGATCTTCACGCAAGGAATGCTGACAAGTCCAGCACCCACCGTTGCCTTGTAGCACAGCTGGCTCTCTGAGATGTCGCACTCCGCTGGCATCTCTGCAGGCAAGGCCACTTTTTGACCACTGATGTGAACTAGCTGCCGACTCTCTTGATCCACAGACCAGTAGCCTTCTGTGGTCCAAAGCTCCTGCAATTCAAACATAGCAAAATAAAAAATATCAAAGTTCAAGGCGAACCAGTAGAGTAAAGGGTAACTTGAAACAAGCCTGTACTGAGTTGCAATGGTTCTTGAGAAGTAGAGGATGATATTTAGTCTCTGGTTTTCCTGTGGGGAAGCTGCAAAACCTCTCCTTTTCGTAGGTCTCCAACTGTGAAAACTGGCGGAAGTCTCGCACGAAATGTTCGTTTTGATGCTCCCACGTGTCTCGTCTCGAGTCTCTGGTTTTCCTGTGGCCTCGCCGTGTCTATGGGGGAAGCTGCAAAACATCTCCTTTTTGGAAGTTTCGAAGCAGGTTGTCATGTCGTTTTGCGTGGCAGGCGTGGCACTTTGTGACATTCCAACCTGTTTTATACCCTCCACACTCCACACTCTACACTCCCAACTCCCCACTTTACACTCCACACTCCACACTTTACACTGTACACTCCTCACTCCACACTTCACACTTTACACTCCACACTCCTTACTTTACACTCCACGCTCCACACTTCACACTCCACACTCGACACTTTCCACTCCACACTCCACACTCTACACTTTACACTCCACACTTTACACTCTACACTTTACACTCTACACTCCACACTTTACACTCCTCACACCACACTCCTCACTCCACACTTTCTATTCCACACTCCACACTTTACACTCCACACTCTACACTTCACACTCTACACTCCACACTTTACACTCCTTACTCCTCACTCCACACTTTACACTCCACACTTTACACTTTCCACTCCACACCACACTCAACACTTTCCACTCAACACTCCACACTCTACATTTTACAATCTACACTTTACACTCTACACTTTACACTCCACACTCTACACTTCACACTCTACACTTTACACTGTACACTCCTCACTCCTCACTTCACACTTTACACTCCACACTTTACACTCCACACTCTACACCCTACACTCCACACTTTACACTTTACACATCTTTACACTATACACTCCCCAGTTCACACTCCACACTGCACACTCCTCACTCCACAATCCTCACTCCACACTCCACACTTTACACTCCACACTTTACACTTTACAGTCAACACTCCACACTTCACAGTTTACACTCCTTACTTTACACCCCGCACTGCACACTCCACACTCTACACTCCACACTCCACCACACTCGACACTCCTCACTCCACACTCCACACTTTACACTTTACACTGTAAACTTTACAGTCAACACTCCACACTCCACACTCTACACTTTTCACTCCACACTCCACACTCTACACTTTACACTTTACACTCCACACTCTACACTTTACACTCTACACTTTACACTTTACACTTTACACTCTACACTCTACACTCCACACTTCACACTTTACACTGTACACTCCTCACTCCTCACTCCACACTTCACACTCCACACTTTGCACTCCACACTCCTTACTTTACACTCCACACTCCACACTCCACACTCCACACCCTACACTTACCACCCCACACTCCACACTCCACACCCTACACTTACCACCCCACACTCCACACTCTACACTCCACACTCCACACTTTACACTCTACACTTTACACTCTACACTCCTCACTCCACACTTTACACTCCACACTCCACACTTTACACTCAACACTCGACACTTTACACTCCCCACTCTACACTTTACACTCTACACTTTACACTCTACACTCTGCACTCCACACTTTACACTTTACACTGTACACTCCTCACTCCACACTGTCCACTTTACACTCCACACTTTACACTCCAGACTTTACACTCTACACTTTACACACTTCACTGCACACTCTACACTTTACACTCCACACTCCCTACTTTACACCCCACACTCCACACTCCACACTCTACACTCCACACTCCACCACACTCTACACTTTACACTTCACACTCCACACTCCACACTTTACACTGCAGACTTTACACTTTACACTCCACACTCTACACTTTACAGTCTACACTCAGCATTCTACACTTCACAGTGTCCACTCCACGCTTCACACTCCACACTTTACACTCCACACTTTACACTCTGCACTCCACAATCTACACTTTACACTTTAAATGTACAAGACTGTGTAAATAAACTGTTTCAGAAAAGTGTTCTGCATGGCTGCATTTCCATGTGTTTCGACATCATCACCATTAACATACGTGTGAGCATTCGGGTTCGTGGGCTGCATCTTGTATTTGTGGGGGGTATACTCGATTTTCAGACAAACCCATAGGGGAATCAAGTTATCAAACACACAGAAATTGGGTCAAACGACCCTTCCATTGCCGATCTCAATTGGACAGCTATTGCTTTGGGGGTCCATCATTGTCTGGTTGGTGGTATAGCTACCCCTCTGAACAATGATGGACTTCGTCAGTGGTGGTTGACCGACCCCTCTGAACAATGATGGAGTTCGTCAATTGGGATGATGAAATTTCCAATATATGGAAAGTCATAAAATTCATGTTCCAAACCACTAACCAGTTGTAAGCCCGATTTATTTTGCATATTTTTGCGAGTGTTAGTGTTCCCATGGGTTTTGACACGCACTATGATGATCCCTCAAGTTATTTGACGGTCAGTGATTGCCAATTCTATACCAACTAAAATAGAAAAACCAACTTCCAAACCATTTGATGAGGGATCCCCAAGCATTAACAATCCACAAATTTGCCGTCTATAATCGATTAAAAACATGTACTCTAACTTGGGTCGATTTACAGTGGCCAATTGCTTTGCTTCTTGGGGATGCTCTAAGATCCCACCTTGCACCGGCCGTCAGATTCAGCAGCAGGCAAGCGAAGAGAATCTGGGCACCAGGGATTTGACTCAAAACAACCAGCAAATATGGTTGTATCTAACATCTGGGAGTATGACCCAACAGAATGGAGAACTGTACCAAAAACAACTTAAGCACATATCTAATGAGATGTTCCCGTTTTCTTGCTGAACATAAACCCTTCTGAATCAACGATTGTGGCATGGATCAGAGTAATTCTTAGCCACCAAACTTGGCGGGCTTAATTCTGAACCAGACCGCTGTGGTGGGTGAATGAATACTTCAAGTTTGAGTCATACCCATTGACCCAGGCTTCTCCAGCAGATTGCAAACTTGGATACCATCATACACCATCCAACAAAAGTTCTATGAGCTGAGCAACTAATTGGTATTCGTTCTATTTAGCTAATTAGATCTAATTAGCAACAAAGCAGCGCTATTCCATACTATTCCCATGAAGATTGCAAAATGGTCACCCAGCTGTGAACCCGACGCCGGCGCCAAAGGAAAATTGTCCAAACTCAATGCCTCGGCAATGTCAGGTTCCATCACAAGTGGACAAGTGGAAAATCACCAATGAAGTCATGAAAAATCAAAAGTCACCAGAGTTTCAATACTGAAATGGTCTAATTTTGGTTGATTTGGGGGTAAACCCACTTTAGGACACTTCCATTTCTTGATCAGAACATAACGACGCATAATCCGGAAACCATTGGAAAAACGGAGAACATTCACACAGAAATCATTCTCTTCCGTTGCCCGCCGGTACCTGAATCTTTTCAACGAATCTGAGATTTTATTGGCAAAGTCTCATCTCTGGGACTTCACAGAAATGAGAATGTCACCTGCCAAAAAACATATGAGATCCATTTCCAGGTAAATGGGATTTCTGCTGCCCGAGTTTGGACAGGAGATGGTAAAGGGTCTGCCTTGCCGCCTGCAGTAGGTTGAACCGGTGCATGGTGCAGCATACTTCGGGGAATCGATGACAACATGTCCAAAATCCAATGGGATAAGACCTGGATAGCATCTTTTTCCCCAAATTAAGGATTGGTTCATCCTCCAATCATGGGCCCATCACCAATAACAGGGGTACTGTCCTACTGAACTCGGGAGCAGGTCATCTGTTCATCGTTCAGCTGTTCAGCAGGTTTACCCAAGAATTCATCGGTTCAAATCTCTGTGGGTGCAAGGAATTTGGGATTTTGAATGGTTGAATATATATATATATATGTATCTGCATGTTGTCAGCGCATCAGAATAAGGTTTTAACCTAAACATAATTTGGGAATTTCCTGCGATATGGCCTTTCCTGTGATATGGTTTAGTTAGTAAATAAGTAACCATGTGTTTGAAAGTGTAGCAGGGTCCCGTTGTGCTGAAATGCCTACAGACATTTTACAATGTCGGCACAAAAATTCAACCATCCCCAAACATAAAGGAAAACTAATCCATCCACTCACTCAAGGGTATCCCCAATTTCACATCCATTCCTTCCATGAACCACATAATGGGGATGCTTTATAATTGTGGATCCCCCTTACTTAGTTCCTCAGTCTGAGAGTTCCATATCCACTTACATGGCTAGGTTTGTCGGGTTAGATTGGACATACGTATGTTTCAAGCTCAAAAGCATCAATGATAGCATGGACCGATTGCGATTTTCCACTTTGACCGTGTCCTCCAATGACAAATACTGCGACCTCTCGCATTATCCCACGCCGGACGAAAGGTGATGGGAGGAGAAGGAGGTTCAAATTCCAGTTCTGGAGCTTCAGGTTTAGATCCAGATTCTTGTGGAAGGTCTTCGCTGTCTGTGTCAAATTCCAGAGGAATACCATCGTGCGCTACATCAAATTGGTTCATCAATTGACGCATTCGATAGGTATCTGGGTCAGTAGTGGTCGGCCACCCACCTCACGTGTTCCTGAGATCATGGAGCTCCATAGCAGCTTGCCCGGTCGCAAGCCCCCCAAATCCTAAGGTTGAGCATCATCAAAATAGATTCAAAATAGCTATAACATTTTCGGTACCTCCCATTTCCAGATTGATCCATCTGTGTCATGATAACGGTGTGTTGGCTATGGCCATCGCACAACACACCAAATGAGCAAGTCTTGTGCATTGCACACATGGTTAAACAATCTTGAAATGTGGTAAAAGCCAATGCCATAACCCTCAAGGGTTACCATTGCACATATCATACCACCTATTGGGGTTTAAAAAACAATTCAACCATTAAATCCCCACGAAAACATACGAAAAGCCTCTTGAGTCACGATTTTTCAGCCATATGTCCCCAAATCTTCAAAAAATCCAGCATGACTTAGTAACTGAGTAGTGAAACGTCTCCCTTTTTGCATCCCATGGTGACGACTTTGGGATCGCCGACATCGCTTCTTGTAGCGTCGCAAGGTTCCGGCGGCACGGAGCTGAGGATCCGAGTAGGACTGACGTGACGTGACGGGGATCCGGGAAGTTCATGGCTTTTTCCATGGTTTTTCCTATGGCTAGTATGTACCAGGCATCCCATGGCTGGCATCCCTTGGGTATCATGTTTTTTTAGTGATCCACGTATCCCATTTTTATGGGTTTTTGGAATGGTATACCCAAGAGTTATAAAATCAACCAGATACTACAGTAGCATTCTGTAGCCAAGATCATGTTTTTTTTGGATTGTGATAATGATGATAATTGTTGGGTATATCCAGGAAAAATGTTTGTTGAATGGGCATAGAATCAATTGGGGATACACCAATGGCAATGATCTAAAGATGTGAAAGTATTGTCATACTATTGTATTCTATTGTACAATTTTCATGACGACTTAAATCCTATACCACTATACGACAGATATTGAGAACTGTTGTAGCTATGTAATAGTAATTGTTGGGTGGCTATAGAATCAACCGTTTTTTCTTGGGGGAAATTAAGCAACACGTATGGGTAAGAAAAAAAACACATCAGATTCTTGGAAGCATGTCTGTAGTCAAGCCCATTACCATGGTCAGAAAGTCTGGTTTGAACTGAGACATGTTTCTTTTGTGTATAGTAAAGCCCACTTCAAAAAATACATGTCGTTTATATACCACTGTTTTAGTAGGATTTCATGTTTTTCAATCTTTTGGGGAGTTCATACATGCCCGCATCCACTACCCCACTAGCAGTTTAAATCCAAACATCATCATCTGCGCCCAATTTTACCAGTTAAAAGTGGTGCCCCTAAATAGCTAAGTTGGTGCATAACTCCAAAAACTATGGTTTGTGATACGTGTAACTATAGTGAGTAGGGTTTATAAACCAACTTATAACTGGGGGGGCCACATTGTAGGGGTATGGTAAACCATAAAGCAACTTTACACCTCAGTTTCCAGCGAAGACCTATGGCTTGAAAGCAACTCCAAAAGTGGAAGTTGCCATCCCAGATGGAAGCGAGTAAAAGAAAAGCGACATTATATTAAAGAAACAACCAGAATGTATACTTGTATCACTAATATCACCCAGGTCTTATTGGTGGTTTCATCCCCTATGTTTATTGGTCAAACATGGAACTTTTGGTGGAAAAACCAAAGTTCTTGCCAGTAAGACCATCTTTTTTGCGGATCAAAACCATTGCTTTGCCTAAATTCCAATTCTGCTGGCAAACCCTCACCCGACTTGGTGGCTCATCCCACTTAGTAAGTGGGTTATAACCCCAGTTATAAATGGGATAAGTAGGGTTAATCCACTTATAACTGGGGTTTTAACCCACTTACTAAGTGGGATGAGCCACCAAGTATGGGTAAACATCCTTAAAAAGGATGTGGAAAGCCCATGGTTTTCCGTGCCATGCGATGATGATCTACGCCTCTACGCCGCTTCGCCGTGCCTGGCCACAGATGGGGCACTGGGGCGAGTGGTTGCGGCGAATCCACTCCACAGCGCAGGCACCTCAGCAGGCCAGTGGTGGGTCGCCCAGTGATAGCAATGAGTTTTGTGTATCAGTATATACCTATATGCAGCACAAGATACAGCATGAAAATATATAAGATATATGGCATTAAAACAATATGACATGTGGGTTATGAACTATTTGCTTAATGTTTTTGCAACTCCTACAAAGGTACATGAACCAAAAACAGGGAACTCATCAGCAGCAATTTGGCTATAGACAACATAATTCTTAATCCAAGCAACTACAGTGATCAAAATGGGGTTTCTCCTCCAGAAGTAAGTTGGTTGAAGAAAACCACACTGTTGGGTTCATGATGGAACAGAACAGTTCAATGGTTCAGATCGATTCACCTCAAAAACGGGCTTAGATCGCAATTCAGACAGATATTCATCGGCAAACATGTGATTGTTTGCAAACTGATCCTGGGGAATGGGTCACGAGTAACAAACAAACATGTATAGATCTTTTAGTCACGCGGGGGACTCAAGCAACAACATTAACTCAGAAAAACATTGGCCACTAAACATTATCAATGCCGTTAAACCATGGAACATAGTAATCTCAATTGAGCTGGTTTAGGAGTTGAGTAGGACCTGATGTATATGGTTACAGCAGTGATAATCCCATGGTAATACTAATTGGACTAGCAATGCAACATCAGCCCGTAAATCTAAGGATATCACTCAATGACGTGGTTCCAGGGAACATCTATGGGAAAACTGGTGTGGTTTTTTCCTATCACATTTCAACCATATGACGTTTGGTTGATGGCTATATCGCCCTTCGATGATCAAATAGGGGGTACCATCACCGCCAGGTTCTGCTATAGTATTTATCGGATGCGTTCAGAAATGCGAAGAGGGTTTCCAAGCAGGACTTGCGGAAGCCCTTCACTGTATTAAAATTATAGGACCGGATAACCCCACATGTTACCAACTTCTCTAGACTGAGCATAGAAAAGCAAGAAGGGAAGAGGAAGTATAAGAGTGATGGAGGGGTGATGAATGGTGGGTGAGTTTTTGTGTATGTGTGTATGTATGCGCCTGCACAGGTGAGTGAATGAGAATGTGAGTGAGTGAGTGAGTGCGTGAGTGAGTGAGTGAGTGAGGGTGAGTGAGTGAGTGAGGTGAGTGAGTGAGTGAGGGAGTGAGGGAGTGAGGGAGTGAGGGAGGGAGGGAGGGAGGGAGGGAGTGAGTGAGTGAGAGTGAGCGCGTGAGGGAGTGTGAGTGAGTGAGTGAGTGTGAGGGGGTGAGTGGAGTGAGAGAGTGAGTGACTGACTGAGTGAGTGAGTGACTGAATGAGTGAGTGAGTGAGTGAATGAGTGAGTGAGTGAGAGGGAGTGAGTGGGTGAGTGAGTGGGAGTGAGTGAGTGAGTGAGTGAGTGAGACTGAGCGGTCCAAGTGCCATAGACCAGCATCATGACCTGAGCAGACAAGTCAGAATCAAGCAGCCAATCTGTCTACCTGGCGTATATCAGACCCATTGCAGACCTGCCACGCTGCAGAGCACCAAGTGCTGTGCTTGCCATGCAAAAGCTACCGGCAGAGCAGCGGAGACGAAGGGACGCCAGGCAAGTGCTGCGCCTACCACGCAAAAGCCAGCGGCAGAGCGGCGGAGACCAAGGATGCCAGGGCCTACATCCGACCCCTTGCAGAGCACCAAGTGCCGCGCCTGCCACGCAAAAAGCAGCGGAGACCAAGGGACGCCAGGGCGTACATCTGACCCCTTTGCACAGCACCAAGTGCCGCGCCTGCCACGCAAAAAGTAGCAGAGACCAAGGGATGCCAGGGCGTACATCCGACCCCTTGCAGAGCACCAAGTGCCGCGCGTGCCACGCAAAACCTACCGGCAAAGCGGCGGAGACGAAGGGACGCCAGCGCGTACATCCGACCCCTTGCAGAGCACCAAGTGCTGCCCCTGCCACGCAAAGCCACCGGCAGAGCGGCGGAGACCAAGGGACGCCAGGGCGTACATTCGACCCCTTGCAAAACATTAAGTGCCGCGCGTGCCGCGCGTGCCACGCAAAAGCTACCGGAGACCAAGGGACGCCAGGGCGTACATCCGACCCCTTGCAGAGCACCAAGTGCCGCGCCTGCCACGCAAAAGCCACCGGCAGAGCAGCGGAGACCAAGTCGCCAGGGCATACATCCGACCCCTTGCAGAGCACCAAGTGCCGCGCCTGCCACGCAAAAGCCACCGGAGACCAAGGGACGCCAGGGCGTACATCCGACCATTGGCAGAGCACCAAGTGCCGCGCCTGCCACGCAAAAGTCACCGGGAGAGCGGCGGAGACCAAGGAACGCCAGGGCGTACATCCGACGCCTTGCAGAGCACCAAGTGCCGCGCCTGCCACGCAAAAGCCACCGGCAGAGCGGCGGAGACCAAGGGACGCCAGGGCCTACATCCGACCCCTTGCAGAGCATTGAGTGCCGCGCCTGCCACGCAAAAGGCATCGGCGACCAAGGGTCGCCAGGGCGCGCATCCGACCCCTTGCAGAGCACCAAGTGCTGCGCTTGCCACGCAAAAGCCACCGGCAGAGCAGCGGAGACCAAGGGACGCCAGGGCGTACATCCGACCCCTTGCAGAGCACCAAGTGCCGCGCCTGCCATGCAAAGCCACCGGAAGTGCCGCGCCTGCCACGCAAAAGCCACCGGAGACCAAGGGACGCCAGGGCATACATCCGACCCCTTGCAGAGCACCAAGTGCCGCGCCTGCCACGCCTTGCAGAGCACCAAGTGCCATGCTTGCCACGGCAGAGCGGCGGAGACCAAGGGACGCCAGGGCGTACATCCGTCCCCTTGCAGAGCATTAAGTGCCGCGCCTGCCACGCAAAAGCCACCGGAGAGCAAGGAACGCCAGGGCGTACATCCGACCCCTTGCAGAGCACCAAGTGCCGCGCCTGCCACGCAAAAGCCACCGGCAGAGCGGCGGAGACCAAGGGACGCCAGGGCGTACATCCGACCCCTTGCAGAGCACCAAGTGCCGCGCCTGCCACGCAAAAGCCAAGTGCCGCGCCTGCCACACAAAAGTCACCGGGAAAAGGCGGCGGAGACCAAGGAACGCCAGGGCGTACATCCGACGCCTTGCAGAGCACCAAGTGCCGCGCCTGTCACGCAAAAGCTGCACCGGCAGAGCGGCGGAGACCAAGGGACGCCAGGGCCTACATCCGACCCCTTGCAGAGCATTGAGTGCCGCGCCTGCCACGCAAAAGGCATCGCAGACCAAGGGTCGCCAGGGCGAGCATCCGACCCCTTGCAGAGCACCAAGTGCCGCGCCTGCCAAGCAAAAGCCACTGGCAGAGCAGCAGAGACCAAGGGACGCCAGGGCGTACATCCGACCCCTTGCAGAGCACCAAGTGCCGCGCCTGCCACGCGAAAGCCACCGGCAGAGCGGCGGAGACCAAAAAACGCCAGGGCGTACATCCGACCCCTTGCAGAGCACCAAGTGCGCGCCTGCCACGCAAAAGCCACCGGAGACCAAGGGACGCCAGGGCGTACATCCGACCCCTTGCAGAGCACCAAGTGCCGCGCTTGCCACGCCTTGCAGAGCACCAAGTGCCGCGCCTGCCACGCAAAAGCCACCGGCAGAGCGGCCGAGACCAAGGGACGCCGCGCCTGCCACGCAAGAGCCACCAGAGACCAAGGGACGCCAGGGCGTACATCCAACCCCTTGCAGAGCACCAAGTGCCGCGCGTGCCACGCAAAAGCCATGGCAGAGCAGTGGAGACCAAGGGACGCCAGGGCGTACATCCGACCCCTTGCACACCACCAAGTGCCGCGCCTGCCACGCCTTGCAAAGCACCAAGTGCCGCGCCTGCCACGCAAAAGCCACCGGCAGAGCAGCGGAGACCAAGGGACGCCAGGGCGTAGATCCGACCCCTTGCAGGGCACCAAGTGCCGCGCCTGCGACGCAAAAGCCACCGGAGACCAAGGGACGCCAGGGCATACATTCGACCCCTTGCAGAGCACCAAGTGCCGCGCCTGCCACGCAAAAGCCACCGGCAGAGCGGCGGAGACCAAGGAACGCCAGGGCGTGAGTGAGTGAGTGGAGTGGAGTGGAGTGGAGTGGAAACCCTTGAAACCATCTGCCATGGCGTCCCGGAAGAACATCATGGAGCGCACTGTGGGCGTCGAACGTTTTCCTGGTCATCTCACTTTCATCGTTCTCCAGAATGACATAGTCCGTCCAGCCGCATGTCAGTCGTTCGGCTCCTCTCAACCTCATCCCATCCCTGCAGAGCTTAAGCTGATGAGATACTGTGGCTCGCACACTCAGATCGGACGAACCCATGACCGACTCATGTAGCATTGGTATCTTCTTGGCAGAAAGCTCGTCGTCCAGTGCGGGCGGCATCCACACATTCATTTTCCCATCAATGAAAGATGTTCTCTCCATGATCGACACATAATGGCCGTAGACACACTCTGATGTGCGGATCATAGCCTTGAGCGCAGATCCGCCCCCTTCTCCCAATGCCGCCACAGCCTTCAGGTTCCAGTTTTCCTTGGCCGCCAGCAGATCGTACTTGTAAAAAGCACTACCGACTTCTCCTCTAGTCTTCACAATGTACGATTCTGCATACATCTGCGGCCTATTGGTACCCATGGGGGAGTCCAACACTGCTGGCTCAATGTCGATCAGCTTGGCTCTAGAGGAGAGAGGCAAGTCTTAACCCATGGCTTGGAGTGGAGTGGAGTGGAGCGGAGCGGAGTGATTTGGAGTGGAGTGGAGTGAGGGGGGTGAGGGGAGTGAGGGGAGTGAGGGGAGTGAGGGGAGTGAGGGGAGTGAGGGGAGTGAGGGGAGTGAGGGGAGTGAGGTGAGTGAGGGGAGTGAGGTGAGTGAGGTGAGTGAGGTGAGTGAGGTGAGTGAGGTGAGTGAGGTGAGTGAGGTGAGTGAGGTGAGTGAGGTGAGTGAGGGGAGTGAGGTGAGTGAGGTGAGTGAGGTGAGTGAGGTGAGTGAGGTGAGTGAGGTGAGTGAGGTGAGTGAGGTGAGTGAGTGAGTAGGTGAGTGAGGTGAGTGAGGTGAGTGAGGTGAGTGAGGTGAGTGAGGTGAGTGACGTGAGTGACCTGAGTGACGTGAGTGACGTGAGTGACGTGAGTG